GTGACCTCCTAGTTCACCCTCAGAAAGAACCATCACACAGCAGACAATTGATCTCTAGCCTCTTTACGAAGACTTTTAGTGTAGGGGAGCCCCTCAGCTCCCAAGGCAGCACAGGCCACTGGGACACAGTTCTTAGGGTTTCTAATAGGCCTTACTTTGCTCCTTGGTAACTTCTACTCTTTGTTCCTAGTTCTGCCTAATCTCTGCCACATAAGCCTTTCAGATATTTAAGGATAACTGTACTGGACCCTCTTCCCCTTTGCCAGGCAAAACATCTTTCAGGTGATCCTTATATACACTCATCTCTCTCCATTCCCTTTCCCGTTCTAGTCACTCTCCTCTGGATACTTTTCTCATGTTTATATTCTTCCTGCCATCCAGGACAAGCCCAGTGCTCCAAGTGTGATTGAACAAGGGTGTAATACAAGTGTAGAGACTCTCACCTTGGGAGCTCCCTCTTGGCTTTGTCCCTCTTGGCTTTGCTGAAGCCGTTTTGTTTTTAAGATGCTAACATCTTTTTCAGATGGAATGCTGGCTGGCTGGCTGTCTTCACCATTTGATGTTTTGAACAAAGTATGAGACTCCTTATATTTCACCTTATTAGGTTTGTTTAGGATGTTTTTCCTTATGTGAAGATTCTTTGCCACCATGGCCCCCAACCCCCAGTCTTTTTTTCCATGCTCAACATCCCATTTTTTTCACCTGATCTTCAGTGTGACATTGCAGTCTGACTGAGTCAGAAGGCCCTGGATTTGTATCCAAAGTCAGTACTCTCTAGCCATGTGACTCCAAAGCAAATTACTGAAACCTCTGAGTCTTAGCCCCCTCCGCCTTAAATTAGTAATAACAACAGCCAGCGTTTATATAGTGCTTTTAAGGTTTGTAAAGTGCCTTACAAATATTATTTCATTTGATCCTCACGTAGGATGCATTAGGTAAACAGAAGACAGTGTTGGTGATGAGGTCATGAGACATCCAAGTTTTTAGTAGGAAGGACTCCCTGCCATGTCTGATACCTAGGGAGAGGGGAAAAGATAGGAATTTTGTAAAATCGTTTTCTATCTGGACAGTTTTGTTGAAAGCAAAATTGAGTTTTGAAGCCAAGTTAAATGTGGAGGCTAATGTATATACTTCATGCTAAGTTTCGTAGTAGATCTTTATTTTGTAGGAGTTAAGACTCATGAGTTGTAAGTAATCATTTTACATTCTGGTCTTTGCATACCCATACCCCTTTGGTGCAGTTTGCTAAATGTAGTAGCTCAAGGGGGGCAGCTAGGTGGCGCAGTGGATAGAGCACTGGCCCTGGATTCAGGAGGACCTGAGTTCAAATCCAGCCTCAGACACATAACACTTACTAGCCGCTGGGCAAATCACTTAACCCCATTGCCTAACCAAAACAGACAAACAAACAAAATAAATGTAGTAGCTCAAGGAAAACAATACAAAATTTTAGCCAATTCCTTTTCCTCAAGAGATGGTGGTTGCCTGTTTGTAACCTTAGGGATATTTCTAATCCAGATGCTTGGAATTAACTTTATTATTTTTATTTATTACCTCTGCATATTTGCCAGAGTTTGCACACGGCCTGTTTCCATCTAAGGCCTATTATATGCTGTTGGAGCGTTCTTTCATAGAAGAAATCGAAAAGGATAATTGGCCCATGAGAGGCCTGTGGTGTATCAGAGAACTTGGGAGGCTGGAAATGCCATGCCCTGACCTATATGGTCTTGGGTTAGCTGCTCAATCTCCCTGAGCTTTCGTCACTTTTGTAAAATAAGGTGGGTGGGTTAGATGTGCATCAGTGAATCTGTTCAGCTTATGCTCTTCAGATCTTTTCTTTCCAAGCACTTTTTTACCCCCTTTTATCACCCGTTCTGGTGATTTCAAATTCTGCCCCTATCTGGAAAAACATATCATCCTATTTAATTTGGGATTACGATTCTTTTTCCATAATTCTGGTCATCATCGTAATATAGAAAGGGTTGTATAATTATAGGAAGGGTCCAGAAGCAACCACTGGAAATACCACTTCATCATTTATGCCTCATCCACTGCGCCGTCTGTTGATTCATTGAACTTGTGTTTGTTCTATATTATATGGAGTCAGTTGTTTGTGCTCCTTGGGGAGATTAGAGAATCCCCGTCTGGCTGGGAAGGGGTCAGGGACCAGTCAGATCTGCAGCTGTCAAAAGAATTCCTTCTGCCTTGCTCTCAACAAGTGGTTGGTCATCCAGTCTCTGCTTGAAGAACTCATGGGAACTCACAGTCCAGGGACACTTACTAGGGCTTTTGATTGGGTTTTTACTAACTGTACCTGTTATGATACGGGAATCTAACTTGTTTGCTGACCTAAAGTTTGCAGACTCCATTGTTTGCTTTTCCAGTCCTGCCAGACCCTCTCCTGTTCTTCCTAGTCTTTCAGAGGTTGCCGACACTAATCATCTGGCATCCTTTTAAGTCCTCAAGGATATGGTTTGCTTTGCTCTGCCCTGGCGACTTCTCTTTCCTCTCACTCTGTTTAGCTCCATTAGCCATTTGAGTTCTGTCCCTTCTGAGCCAAGCCAGAGAGGGTGCCTTCTTTGTTGTCAGTTATCCCACCTGTGGGTGGTGGGCTTGTCTCCTGATTTCCTCTGCTCCCACCAGAAAACTGCCCACCTTCTCGTTGACCATAGTCGTCCTTGTAAGCCGTAGGGGCGTTCTGAGCGTAGCATGACCGTGCTGGGATGCTTTTGTAGGACGGTGCTCTGCGTGTGTGTTTCTCCTCTGTCACTTGCCCTTTCTTCGGTTTTCTGTGTAAATAGCTCTTAAATCCAAGTGGATTTGAGTTCCGCGTGTCCACCTTATTTTTGTTTGACATATCCCTTTTTCCTCCTCAGGAATTGTTTCTTCAGAATTTCGTTTTTAGGCACTTTGCATCCCTTCCTAGTTCTCTTCCCTTATAGAATTTTGGTCCGTGAGACCCTCCTGCTTCCCCTTTTTCTGCATCTTCTGAAGTCTCTTCTCCAGAAGCCTGATGTGGACGTCACTCAGGGGCTGACTTTACCTCCCCCCCAAATTCCCGCTCTTGCCCCGGCAGTCCAGTTCTTCCTCGTTGATCAAACTCTTAGCAAGAAGAGGCTTTCGCTCTGTGGATTCCTCTCCTCCTCAGAGAAAGTGAGCAGATGTCCAGGTCGTCGGGGCTTGGTCACTACTGCGACTTGCTGTGCTCCAGACCTGGGTCGTTCTCCTCTTTCTGTCCACCCAGAGGGTCACTGGCTTGCAGGCTGTGCGTGTCCTTTAGGCGACTTCTTCAGCTTCATGAGCGATGGTATCCCTGCACTCCTAGTTACTTTACCTTCCACTGGATCCAAATACTTTGATTTTCATTTTATTAATGAACGTGTTGTTACAAATCACTTTCCTGTAATTGGCATGGGTGTGTCTCCTCACCCCCCAGTCCCTTCCATTGGCTCCCTAACAAGCCCAGGTTCAGATTTCATAGCTTTTGAAACCCTGTGCCCTGGTCCCATCTTCCTGTCAAGTTAGGGTTGGTGTTGAGAGGGCTACCAGAGGCTGAAGCCTCAGCCCCTCTTTTCATCCCCACTCCTCCTTAGTCAGACCTCTGGAAGAGAAGTCCTCATGGGCCAATCTCTTGGTCGTTCCTGCCTTGGTCCTAGGCCTTCCCTCAGAGTTGGGGAGCAAGTTGAAGGCCTCATGATGTTCTTTCATTCTTCACTTCTGGGCTCAGTGCATCCACTGTTTTCAGCAGATCCTTCCTTCCTCACCGGCCTTATTTTCTGGCCAACTTTGGCACCTTTTCCTATGTAGGTTAATGCCTGCTATCCTTTGCTTGTTCAAACCCTGCCTACTGGTCAAGGCCTGGTGGAGTTGCTCAACTCCTTTTACTTAGCTACTTCATCAGTTTTGTATTTGTAGGGGTGTGTGTGGGTGTGGGTGGCACGCATGCGCGCATACACACATACACACATCCGCACATCCGCATCGGCAAAGATTCCCTTCTAGTATCTGAAGTGGTGTCAGGAGCCATGAGGGAGGGCAGTTGCCTGTAGCCTGTGTAAAGCCATGAAGGTGGGAGAGATGGCTTGCTGAGTTTGGGGAGAGCCTTAGGGTCACAGCTGAGAGGTGTTTGCTTTTATCCTGAGTGGAGAGGCAGTGCTCTCAATTCTGTCACCTTCCTTCAGGGGATCTTGTGATGATTGAAGGAATTCACCTCTCAGAAGGTTGGGGCAAACTTTGATGTGCTTCTGCTTGTTGTTGGTATTTGTTGGAGGGGTAACACCAGAGCTGAACCTTGTGGGGAGGCAGAGACCAGGAGGGATTCAGCTGCTCATTTGCCTTTCTCCATCCTAGAGAAATAAGATGACGGCCGCTAGGTGATGACATGTTGAATGTAGGAGTATATGATAAGGGGAAGACATCTGGAGGCAGTGCTGGGAGCTGGTCTCTGCCGACAAGGGCCCTTGACTCCTGGGCACAGAGGCAGGAGGGAAGGAAGCAAGCAAGACTAGACCAATGGTGGACATCGAAATGACAGCCGAAGGAGAAGAAAGACGCTGTTCAGGCGCGTAGTGGAGGCTGACCTTTGGTTTCAAGGAGTCATTGCCGAGTGGCGAGGAGAATCCCAGCAGCCCCTTCTCTTTTAGGGAAGCTGTGATGGGTGCCCTGGGTTTAAGGTGCTGCCCAGGACATGAAGAGCACGGCTAGATCTACTCCCTGATCTTCTGTTGGCATATGTCTGATATAGATGGGCATAAAAAAGGACTGAATGAAACCTCTGTTCTATTGGAAATGATGAATTCAGAAGTCTTCAACATAAAATAATGAGCACCTCTGTGTTAAGAGAGAGGGAATTCCTGGGCTCTGCCCCGGTGTCTCACCAAGATCTGTCTTTTCTAGTGTGGGGGGTGGGGGTGGGCAAAAACGCCCAAGGCTAAAGGTGAAGGTGCTCTTCTCCAGGGAGAGTCTAATTTTTTCCTTTTCTTTTTATTGTCCAACAGGTTTGATCTGTGGATGAAATGAATCATGATTTCCAAGCTCTTGCATTAGAATCTCGGGGAATGGGAGAGGTAAATATTTACAGACACGAACATTCACAGAAGACTTTGGACTCAGTCCCTGGAAACATCAGTGAGAAATTTATTGACACGTTGAAAGTAACAGCAGTCTTTCTAAAGTGTCCCAAACCATACTCCTCGCCCCCCACCCCCACCCCTTGCCCCCCCAGATTTTCATTTACAGCTCCTCGTGGTTGTGGGTTCTCAATGTGGTGATTTGCATCTGGGGGAGTCACTGAGTTTGTCAGAGAGCTTGGGGCTCAGGCAGAGCATGAACCCCGTGGTTAGCTTAGTTTTGTGCTGAGAGCTGCAGGTCAGGCCACTTCCTGTAAGTGCTTGCTCCTGAGGGCTGCTGTTTGTGGTCAGTCGTGGGTCAGTCCAGTGGCCTGCAGCCTCCTAAGCTTCCCTTTTCTCCTCCTCCCCCTCCCCACCAACACATCTCAGAGGGAACCTGCCTACTACGAGTTGCCATATCCTGAGCACCTTAAGGTTTACAGAATGCTTTCCTGCCTTTAACCATTTAATACGCCTAGTGAGCCTATTACGTGAGTGATTACGGGGATTATTATTTCTATTTCGTACATGAATCAGCTGAGGCCCCAGGGAGGCTCCTGGTTTTGGCCAGGTCACACAGTACATATCAGTGAGGATTTGAACGGGGGTCTTCTTGACTCCCCAGTTCAGCCCCCTTTCACACTAACACTCCTTAGTGCTCCACTGTATAGAGATTGAAGAAGCATTAACAGATGACAGTAAGTGTCATAATGGCTTCCATGTTGTCTGACGTATCTCCCGCAGTGCTGATGTTAGCATTGTGTCATCCTAAGCCTTCCGACAGAGCCGAGAGCTTGCCGAGGTTCCCAGTGTTCAGGCCCCGCTTCTCCCTAGTACGTCAAGGCCAGGCCCCCAGCCTCCCATCTCCAAACCCACTGCCAAGCAGTGTTGTATAGCCAAGTCAGTTCTGGGTCCCAAGCGAGGGTCCCCAGGATAGCCTCAGCACAGCCAGCCCTGCCTCCTTGCAGATGAAGGACATTGGCATCATAGCAGGGAGAGGAAAGAGAAAAAGGCACAGCCCTTGCATCTCGGTGCTTCTTCTCCCCCTCCGAGAAGCCCCACGTACCAGGCTGAGGACTGGCTGCAGAGTGGAAGGGACCAGCTCATGCCTCCCCACTGGCCCCAGACACCAGCCACGTTCTTTGAATGGGAGAAGAGGGAAACCCAGGATGTGGGGAGAGTCAGGACGGCTCCTCAGCAAACCACTGCCCACGACCTAGCCACCACCTGGGGAAGGGGCAGCTGGACAGCTTTCCTTCCAAGGGAAGCGGTGTAATTCTCTTAAGTGAGATGTAGGTACTGCAAAATCCCATTTATTGGTAATGTCTTCCATAGAGAAGTGAGTTTTTTGTGACATTGGAGGGGTTGCAGCATCCCCTCATTCCCTTTCAGTCGTTTAAAAGACACCATGAGAAACTTGCGTTGTCCCAAGTCCAGTTTCCTTCTTCGTCATCCGACCCCCTCAATCCTGCCCCTGTGACAGGTGACTCGGAAGCCTGTGCAGCTTTTCTTCTCTGGGTATCTGTCTCCCACCAGCCTTTCTGTCTTTCCCCGTCTCACAGGCAGCTAGGAACCTTCAGGGATTTCCTTCTTTGCCTGTGGGGGTCTCTCACCAGCCTTCCTCTCCTCCTGCCCTCTGACAGGTGAGGTGTTTTTGTTCCACCCCAGAATTCCTTCCACTCTGTAAACTTAAGTGTTGAAGTAAGTAAGTGTCAGCATCCATGAAGTTTTTCTTTGTTATTTTCTTAAATCTCCAACTCCTGTTAAAAAGGTCTTTTCCGTAGAACGACCTGGGTCCGAACTGTTGTGCCCAAATGGGATTTTGCTGTTCTCTGACTCAGCACATTGGCTTTCTAGGAAGTAACTGGAGCAGTTTCCATCTAAGGTTCAAAGCACTGCATGTCTATGGGATGCCCCTTTTTGATGATGATGATGATGATGATGATGATGATGATGATGTTGATGAGGAGGAGGAGGACGACAATGTGCTCTCCTTCAGTGCCAGAGATAGAGAAGTTTAGTGAGCCACTAGCTCTCCGCACTTGGCTTTTGTGGTTTTTCCATTAGTGGGGATGAATTTGCATTAGTCTGTTCACAGAGCTCCAGCCGTTTCAGCTTGTGACCAGTGGAATGGTTTGTCTGAGTGGCCCCCGGGAAGTGGGATATCCTTGTTGACTTAGCCTTCGGAGCAGCAGAGTTCTCCACCCACTTCGTTTAAACTTGCCTCCAAGCACAGAGGATTGACCCTCTAGAAGTGTATTTCTGTTGTAGGTAATAGAGGAAAAGTTCCCACCCCATGATCATAGCTTAACTGGGCCAGACTTTAACTTGAAGGACTTGGGGAATGAGTCGGGGGGGGGGCATTTTCCCTAGCTTGAAATACCACCCTTATTGATTCTGCCTCTGTCCTTTTTCTTCATTATACCATTTACTTGGGCTTAGCTCTCTGGAAGGGGAAACGGGGAGGGAACGTAGGCGTCCGCTGGTCCTCTTGGAAAGATGGGGGTAAATGGAAGAGGACCACGGCTGGACAAAAGCAGAAGCTGTGTTCTAGCAAGGTGCTGAATGGCACGTTAGAGAGCAGCGTGCTTGACTTGAGTTTCTGGCAAAGTCCTAGAATATCTTTTTTTTTTTTTAAAGGCAGTTGGGGTTAAGTGACTTGCCCAGGGTCACACAGCTAGTAAGCATCAAGTGTTTGGTCTGAGGTCAGATTTGAACTCAGGTCCTCCTGACTTCAGGGCTGGTGCTCTTATCAGCTGCGCCACCTAGCTGCCCCCATGTTCTAGAACATTTTATCAGATAGCTTCTTTGTGAGCACTTAGAGAAGGAGCCAGAAGGGCTTCTCAGGAGCCGGTTGTGCCAGAGCAGCTCACTTTACTTCTTGGACAGAATCATGAGACTCATGGGTCAGGGCAGAGCTGGAGATGACATCTGCGTTTCAGAGTAGAATTGGAGGAAGTGTCTCCAAAGCTTTGAGGACGGGATAGAAACATGGCCTAGAAGCTGGTATGGTTCACTGGTATGGTCTGGAACTGGTGCAATGGTTAGACCCAGAGAGGTGTCAGGAGGGAGTTTCCGCAAATGCTGAGCAGCCAAAGAAAACTTCTTAGGATGCTGACGAGATGGTCACCCAAATGGGGGTGGAGGGGTGCCCGGGGAGGTGAGGGGCTGGGATAATAGTTGTCAAGAAAGCTGATTCCTGAACAAAGACCTAATGGGATTGTCAGGGAGGAGGGAGCACGTTTTCAATAGAGCCGGCTTTCACAGGAGACTTGGGCCCAGGTAGTCCGATTGGGCTGCAGGGCTTTAAAAAGAAGGAATTTGTGGTTTTTGTGAATAACTTTGGAGTTAGTGGAATTAAAAAATGTGAAGGGTTGTGCAGGGCCTTTCTGGGCACGTTTTTGGCCTGTTAGTGTCTAAAAACTTGCAGGTTATTTGGAAATTGGGATGAACCTGTTAAAGCCATTCCAGGAAGAGGCAGACGCCATTAAGGGCCACATCTGCTGCTCTGCCCTCGGTGGGGCCAATAGTGTATGGCTGGATTTCAGAGGCTGTTTCAGAAACGCTTAGGGCATGATTTTTTTCCCTTTAGTAGCGAAGATGTAACATTCATTTAAATATTTGACTTACCAAAGCATCTGTTGTGAAAATCCTGGAATGAGGAATTCACTTGAGGTCAGTCAGTGTTGTGCCAGGGGAAGGGCGTACTTGTGATAGTGATTCCAGTTTCTTATTTAATGTAAGGGCTTTTAAAACATAAATGTGAGGGTATAGACTGCTAGTGTTTGGGATAAATGACTTGCATCCTAACTTCAGATCTATAGCAGTTAAGTGCCCTTCTTTGTATGGCATAGGTTAGTTTTGCTGACTAAGGGAGAATATTGATGGGCACCTCAGCCTTCGTGGGGGGTAAAGTCCAGTGGAGAAGCTTTCTTTCCTTTTCCCCCATTGAATCTGGAACAAGCTTCAATAAAATGAGCAGTATTTAAAGTTTATATTATAGGTAGGGAGAGTGTGTGTGGTTCAGTGATTGAGTATGTGTAGGATTGAAGGCCATTTCTGTAGGACAGGGCAAAGATGGGTGGTCATGGTGTTATTTTCAAGCGATAAATAGATCATGTTAGGGCTAGTAGAGGTTGTTGGCTCATTGGAATCTCATGGTATCTGCACTGGGAGGTCGTTGCTAGAGGTATTAGAATATTTTACAGGCAAGACTGAATGAGCACAGCGCTAATCAGGGCAGGGCTCAGAAACAAGGCTGATGGTTTCCAGTCCAGGTCTACATCTGATTGTGCTCACTGCCACTGTCAAAACCCAGAACAACCCTGGAGAGCAGAGGGTAGAATGCGAGAAGTCAAGAAAGGCAGGGAATCCTTCTTAGAGATAGAACTGTGTTCTCAGAATATTGGCGAGGCAGAGTGGGGGTAGGGAAAGAAGTGCCAGATTCAGAGGTGGCTGCCTGGCTTCCCTCCCTCTGTGATCACCTCTGGGCGCCAGAAGGGGGAGACAGTGGGCATGGAACATCGCATGTGGCAGACTTTGTGAGGTAGTGATTAATTTAACGAACTATTTCTTTTCCTCTTTTTTTTTAATTAAAAGAAAAATGTAAGGAATAGATCTCTAGAAGAGAAAGTGAGGATATGTTGGAAAATGTGGGTCATGTGGAAGAAATAGTCCTAACATTTTTTGAAATAAATGAGGGGATTTGAGGAGATTTGCTAGATCAGCAAATCTCAAACTTTCTAGAAAGTCTTAGGGCCCCTTTTTATTGTTTTAAGTTACTAAGAACATCTAAGAGTTTTTATGTATATTGGGCAGAGCTATAGGTAGTTAGCATCTTAGAAATTCAAATGTGTCAGTGTGATTATGAAGCTAGCCTTGCCCTTGTCTTCCCTCCCCTGTGCTGTCCCCCTTGCAGTCCTCTCCCCCTTTACCCCTGGTCCCCGGTATCTCCTGAATGTTTCTCGTGATTTGGCCAGTGGTGGGAGGTGGCCTGGCACTCGGAGCACAACGCTCGGCTGGGGCCTCAGACTTCAGTTTACGTCCAGCCAGAGGCTCTGGTAGCTCTGTGACCGTGGGCGCGTCAGCTTCTCTCGGGTGTCAGTGTTCACATCTGTGAAACCAGCCACGTGGGCGAGTAGGGGGGAGCAGATAGAACAAGAAGAAGCGTTTGCTCTAGCGCCTTAAGGTGCACTTCCTCTTCTGGAAGGTTAGCGCTGATTGTGGGAAGGGTGTCATCATCAGAGCAACGGGCATCCCATTGTGCCAGGGGGCTTGGGGGGCTCTGGTTTTGTTTCTGTGCTCCCGGTCCCGTACACACAGCTGCCTGACAGGTGCTCCTGGGTTTTAAGGGGTTTTTAAAAATCAGTGAAACTAAAGGTTTTTTTCCTTTCAAGGCACTTGTTGTCCCTGTCTCCTCCCCCCTCCCCCAGTGCCCGCTGATATTTTCACTCCAGCTCCCCTTTTGGTCTTTTAGTGTGTGCGTGGACGTGACCATTGTCCTCGCTGTATTCTGGCACTGATGACGTCCCCTACCTAGCACACCGGAGAGGCCACGTGCTTCTTTTGTCCTAGGCCCCCTCGGGGAGGTTTTGCAGAATTGCTCGTTTGGGAATTTCCTCCACCCCGGCCGTTCAGAAACAGGCTCTGGCTTCGAGAGGTCCCAGGAAGGTGCCCAGGCCCAGGCCCTCACAGTCGAATTGGAACCCAGGTCTTCAGACCCCTCAGTGTGGCCCTCTTGGCTCATTGTGTCCATCACCTCTTCCTAACTGTTAAACTCCATGCCGTCCGTGTGCCCGGCCGCATTTGGCTGCTCTCTCGTTGTGGTCTGTCTGCGTTGCTTCCCATCCCTAGTACCTTACACAGCTGTGGACACATCTGTACAAATTCATGTTTTTAGTTTCTGGATTTGAATGTCAGCCCTAACTGTGGAATCACCAAGTCAGAGGATGAGCAGTTTGATGCATCTGTTTTGAATAAGTCAAATGAGTGGGCTGCACCCCTCCCAGATTTTCTTAGAGTAGTTTTAAGTATTAAATGTATTAAAATGCTTTCCCTTTGACTGCATGATACATCTTGGTGTTTACAGCAAAGCTTAAACATTATCGTTTTTTTCTTTCCAAAATAGCTTTTGCCTACCAAAAAATTTTGGGAACCTGATGATTCCACAAAAGATGGACAAAAAAGCGTCTTTCTTGGGGACGATGAATGGAGAGAGACTGCTTGGGGTACTCCTCGTAAGTGACAACTTTTCTGTGAATCGATCATTGCTCCACTAATCCTCATTTCCCTGTGCTGAGCTCACCAACAAAATGCTATTGACGTTGTTGCTGGTGAGGGTTCACTGTTTTAAATCAAGTTCTGGAGCGCATACCTACCTGCCACTTTCCAGATCCCTAGCTAACAGCCCCCTTGTGGCTTAAAGAGTGTTGATAAACTAACAGGGTTGTAGGGGAGGGTGCCCCCAGCAAGCGTACCTGAACTTTGTCTCTAAGAAGCTGATCAGCCAGGAGGCGTGGGTTAGAGTGGGGCCCACTGGGAGGACTGCTAAGATTGCCGGAGTCGGGGAGAAGTCCCTGTGGTGCAGGCGACATGGAGGAAAAGTGAATCGCTCAGTTTGGATTCTAACCCCTGGGAGTAAAGAAAATGGCATGGCCTGGCCTAAGCTGTGATCTCGTCTCTTTTTTCAGTCTTAACATGGCAGCTAGATGTGCCCCTCTACTCTCAGGTTCCTGGAGCTGTGTAGCTTCTGTGCTTTGTCACCTGGAGCATCCCTCTTCCCGCCCCTTGTGGGTTTCCTCTGTCTGCGCTGTCTGGGTCCACTGCCCATTTGTGCTATCTCCCCTAATGGACTTGGTGGAAGACTTTCCCTCCAGGTCTTCTCTGGGGATGAGGGGGGGGTGTCTTGGAGATAATAGAGGCTCCTCTCCCTAATCTGTACTCCCCAAGCCCTTGGCCTCACCTCGCATCCTCTCCTCCTGGACTCTTCTGCCAGAGCCCTTCACGTCTCTCCCCTTCAAGGAACTCAGCACGTCCCAACCAGTCTAATGCCAGCAGGAGTTTGGAAGGGCTTCAGACTCTTGAGTTTCTGAATTGAGTGGCCTTTTCCCGAACTTCCTCTTTCTTGATGCCTTGCAGCACTTGGCGCTTGGCCCCTCACCTTCCTGCGACTGCTTTACCTTTGTCCTCCCCCTGCCCTGGGGGCCTCTGCTCAGCCTTTCTGGCTGGGTCATTCTCTGGGTTATGGACCCACTTCACCCTCTGGAATTTCTCTTCTTGGTGATCTTATACGCACCCTCGGGGTCAGTTATTTCCGGGCGGGCCCTCATTAAGCTGCTATGGTCCAGTCCCACACCATTGGCTGCCTAGGGCATGTTTCCCACTGGTGCCCAGGCGCCTCTCAAACTCAGAATCTCCAGATCAGGGACACTTGCTTCCCCCCAAACCCAAGTCTACTTTCTAACCTTGAGGATTCATTTGGACACTGTTATTCTTCTGGTAACCTAGACTCCTCATTCTTGTACCTTCAGCCCCTCCCATCATTGGCACATCTCTCTCCACTGGAGCCCAGCCCTGAGTTTAGGGCAGGAGCCCTCTTACCACCTGCCCAATTGATAGGTCACATCCCAGGCCTGACCAGCTCTTTCTCCTTGTCACAGTCTTGGGTGGTTTGCTGTTGGCAGGAATGTAAGACCCAGCTTCTTGGCTGTAAAGCCCTTCACCTTGCTTGAGCTTTTCCTGAGGATGTCTCATTGCTGAGCTGCCAGAGCCACGTTCCCGGAGATCAGGCTCAGATCAGCTAGAAAGCCATGGGTTCGGCGTGCCTTCTTTTCCCATCTTCTCACGCTTGACTGCTCTTTCTTCCCTCAACAACCCAGCCTCCTTGCTCTGCCCTGGGCCGGGCCTTCCCAGAGTGCTCTGTCCCCGTCCCCCACCAGAATGGCTTACTTTCTTTCTTTCTCTGATTACTTCCAGTCTCCAGCTGGGCAGAGCTCATATGTACGTGTTTGTCTGCATGTTGGTTCCTCTTTAGGTTGGTCACCTTTTTGACAAAGGGAAGGAGATGCTTAGGCCTGGGATTTGGAATAGCGGTTGGGCGGGTCTGGGCTCCGGTGTCGGTCTGGCTGTGTGCGCGGGGAGAGAGCTGTACCAGTGACAGGAGGGGCTGAAGGTACGACAGTGAGGTGCGGAGGGGCACTGCCGTCCTGCGTTGCCTGCTGTGTCCCCAGCCGTTAGCAGCAGTGCCGCGGAAGCACCGAATGAACGTTTATTGACTGACCGCTTGGCCTCTGTGCCTTTGCCCAGGCTGTCTGCAGTGGCCTCTCTCACACAGAATCCCTGGTTTCTTTGGAAGCCCAGCTCCAGTGCTGCTTCCTTTCTATAGGAAGCTTTTCTTGACATCTCCCTCCCCCCAAGAACACGCGTGCGTGCACGCGCACACACACACACAACCCAACAACTTAGCTTCTTTGAGCATGAATGCTTCTATCTCTGTGGATGCATGTATTTCTGTTTCTTCCGCCTTGCTGCTACGGTGTGCATTCCTGGAGAGCAGGGACTTGGGATTTGGGTGCTTGTGTCCTCGTGGTCTGGCACAGTGCTTAGCACAGAGATGCTTAGTTAATGCTTGGAGGAGAAATGTGGAACTCAGAATACCCCGATGTGTGCTGCTTGTATGTGGGACTGAATTTCTGATCCTACAGAAGAATTTTAAAGGAGATTTTACTTTATGGTGAGTCTCTAGAAGACCTCAGTGAAATGACATGTTGCTTACTTAATTAAGGGGATTTGAAACACCCTAAAATCATACCAGATCATTTAGCTGTTTCCAAAATGAGCTTTTCTTTGGAAGTAGAATTGAGTGCGCTACTGTTTATGATAATAATTAGACAGTTACTTTGAACAAGTCTTGCTAAGTCAGGTTGTAGGTTAATAATGGTGGTTAAATCTCTATGATGTTAGAGTTGGCATTAGATTGTTCACATTTTGGGGTGAAAATGGCTCAGGCTTTTAATATTCAAGCCTAAACACTTTCCTTAAATAATCTTTAAGCATGGAATAATTTCCGAAGTCAGGAATTTTGCCTGAATGAACGGGCCAGCTCAGAGCCAGGTTATGCCCTTTTTACAGAAATCAGGGCATCTGTAGTTTGTGTCAGTAAGTGTTCCTACATGCTTCTACAAGTGACATCATTAGGTCAGTGCATGTTTTGAGCCAGAAAAATGTCCCTGATATGCCTTATCTAAACGAGTGGTTCCTTTAAGAAGAGGATTTAGAGACATCAAAGATTTAATTTTGTGAATTGCATTTAAATAATGAAAAATTAGAGGCAAGAATTGAGCCAGATTTTTCATACTAAAGCTCCATTTCTTGATGTAAATTTAATGCACGCTTTGCCAGAACTTGTCCTAGTTTTTTTGTTTTGAAACTACATGTTAGGAATTTTGAGATTCTTTTCATTCTATTTCAGAAAATTCAGTGAGGCTAAGATTCTTTTACTACAGTGGTGCCATTTCAGTTGATTGTATTCAAGTGTCTATAGAAGGCTTTGGAAAGTTCAAAAATTCCTAGTTCAATTAGACATTTATTCAATTAGGCATTAGACATTCATGTTTCCATTCAGTATGGATGCTTGGGAGATAGGTGTAGTGCTAGGTAACCACTCGCATACGTTAGCTCTGCCATTGTTTTAAAATGCAGTAATGTATTCTGGAAATTTGTCTCTGATAATGACTGTAATTTTCGTTTTGGGAAATGTTATAAGCTGTTCTTAATTTTTCTGTTGAGGTATTGATGGAGTTTATTAAAGCCAAAAGTAAATCGCTTGTTTTCTCCAGGCTAAATCAGAAACTGTGAATAAAATTTTGAACAAAATTTCAAGTGCTTCCTCCCAAGCCCAGAGTGCTGGGCACTCTGCTAAGTGCTGGGGACACAAAGAAAAGCCAAGAGACGTCCTTGTGCCAAGAGAGCTTGCATTTCGTGGGGGAAGGCTTCCCATTGGGAAGGCTCGGCCAGACAGAGGTGTTTGGGCAGCGTTGATTGGATGTCAGAGCTGGCGAGGGAGAGAAGGGTCTGAACGTGGGGGCTTGATCTGGAAAAGGTCAGCAAAGTCGAGGGGCCCAAGGTGTGGACCTCTGTAGTGGCGTGTCCTATAGGCAGCCTCCCTTTTCCTGAAGTTCCCTATTGCTGTCAAGGGGCCCACTGTCCTCCTCGTCACCCTAGCTCCTGACCTACGTGTCGTCTTTTGAGTCCTCACTTTCATTGCCCCATATTCAGTCAGGTTATGTCAAGTCCTAGTGATCCTTGAAAACCTTTCTTTCTTCAGACTCTGGTGTCATCTTGGTCCAGGCCCTCATCGCTTCGTGCCTGGACTATCATAATAGCCTGCTGGGGGTTCTGCTTGCCTCCAGTCTCCCCCCTCCAGTCAGCTTTCCACTGAGCTGACACATGAATCTCTCAGAAGTGCAGATCTGACCATGTCATTCCCCTACATCGTTTCCCCCCTGGCTGTTCCTTTGGACTTCTCCATTGTCCCCAGAGACTCATGAACTCTGAAACTCCCACCTCCTCAGCACCTCCTTTCCCCCTCTTTAGAGAGGGTCAAGGTGGATGCTGGAGAGCTCCTCACAGGCCTTGACCGGTAGGGCAGACATGCAGTCCCACTGGCTGCAGGACTTCATCATGCCCTGAGCTCCCTCTTCCGCCAACCCCCGATGAACTAGTCTGGAGGGAGAAGAGAAGAGGACCCAGGACAGAACCCTGGAGGAAATCCAATAGTTGAAGGGTGTGGTCTGGAGGAGGAGCTGCCGGAGAGAAATAGGATGATCTTAGGGATGGGAGGGTCAGGGAGGGTGGTTTTCAGGATATGGGAGACAGGTTTGTAGGCAGGAGGGAGAGATTGAGGGTAAGTGAGAGAGGGGGCGGTCAGTCTGCTGGAGGATCCCAGATAGGAGGGGATCAGCCTTGGTCAGGATTCAGGCCGTTAAGGAGCAAGTGAAAGTCGATCAATGTTCGCTTGAAATTAGTGTCAGAGGGTTTCAGATTTAGAAGTGGACCTTGGCCAGCCATCCTGGGCTGTACCTGAGCAAGAATATCCTCTCCAGTGTCCTTAGGAGCATAGTAATGTAACAGTTAGAACTCTGAAGGGGCCTTAAGAGGCTGTCCAATCCACCTCCCTCTTTTTATGGATGAGAGAGATTCTGAAACTTGTTATGCAGATTATGCAGCTAGAAAGTGCTTGAGGAAGAATTCAGAATTGGGTCTTTCTGATTCCAAATCCAGTACTCTGGTCTGTGTCACCTAGCTGGCTTTTTTAAGTGAACAATTGTATTTATGTGGCTAGTTAGCCGGGCTAACTGCCTCCCCAGCCTTTCAAAGTTGATTTTCCTGTTGATTAGATTGACTAGAGAATGAGCTGAGGTTCTGCACCCTGTTGGGAACCATTTCTAAAACTTTGTGACAAAAGTTCCTTTAATAAGTTTTTCCTCAGTTACCATATTTGAGTTTGTATTATGTGATCATTTGTACTTGCACTTACCTTAAACTATCTTTATCTTTTTTTCCCCTGCCACCTCAGATGCACAGGGGCTGGAGCAGTGGGCCTAGAGTCAGGAATCCTGAGTTCATGTCCAACCTCAGACACTCACTGTGTACTAAGTGACCCGGACAAGTCACTTAATTTCTGTCTGCCTCAGTTTCCTCTTCTGGAAGATGGGAGCCATAATACTAGTTACCTCCTAGGATCGTTGAGGATCAAATGAAATAATTTTTGTAAAGTGCTTAGCACGTAATATTTACCATATCCATGCTAGCTTACACACACACACACACACACACACACACACACACACACACACACATTCCATAAATGTTTCCCTTCCTTCCCTCTCTCCCTTCTGTAGTAGTATTAAAAAGTATTACTCAAGCTAAAAATACTCAGAAGGACTCATTTTTGTCTACATGGAAAGTTACAGTGCTAGGAATCGGCCTGCTTATAAATCTTTCTTAAAAGAAACTAGCCAGTGGACAAGGTAGCTTGGAATTAGTGATCTTGGAAAAGTTATTCATCGTGTTGGTGAGCCAGGTTCTGGGTGGGGAGTATGATCTTGCTTGATGGCGCTTGAGGTATGCCGGTGAGCCTGCTTCCTGTTAGGGAGTGTCAGTCTCTCCCCTCCTCCCCAGCTTGTCCTAATTGTTCTTTGTGGGGAATTGTTCTCCTGAGGGGGCCTGTGAGCCTTGGGTTGGCCCCTAGTCCTCCATCTCAGCTGTTATTTTAACCTCTTCCCCAGTGCCCAGATTTTCTCCGAGTGTCTCTTAGGTTCTTTCTCTCTACTTCCCAGTAGCTCACAGGGCCTTTGTCATCTGAGTGACTGTCAAACGAGTATCCTCCCATAGAGTTTACATTGAGTAGTATTTAAACTAAAATATGGTAGGGGGTTTCTTCCCCTCTGTTTATCTTGTAACCTCTTTGTTTAACTTGGAAGTTGACGTGGTTTTCATTTTATTCTTTCTTCCAAACAGACCATTCGATGTCCCAGCCTATTATGGTACAGAGAAGACCTGCACAGGGTTTTCATGGAAACAGTGAAGTAAATGCCGTTCTGTCTCCTCGATCCGAAAGTGGAGGCCTTGGCGTGAGCATGGTAGAATATGTATTAAGTTCTTCTCCTGCAGATAAATTGGATTCTCGATTTAGGAAAGGAGCTTTTGTAAGTACCTCCGTGCTTGGAAGAAAGCCTCAGTCCTTTGCTTGTGTCTGATTCGGTTCTGTTTCTGTTTTCTCATATTTGGTTATCTTGGCTGCGGTTAGGGAGGATGCTTAGTTCTTGTCCCGTCCTCCTTATTTGAGGAGTCCCAAAACAGAGAAACACAGGAGCTTTTGGGGAGGGAGTTGGGCTTCGTTATAGCATAAAGCGTAAGCCCCAGTAGCTTCTTCAACCAGTCTTTAAGATGAAATTTTAATTCCTCGTAGGGGAGCCCTGCACATTGCAGTTCAAATGTGGCACCTTGCAATCCCAAGGAGATTCTCTCTGTGTGAAGCAGTCCTCGTACTTTGTGGTGTTAGTGCTTTCCTAGCCCCGCTATAGTTAAGGTTGCATTAGCGCTTCCATTATAAATGGCGATGGTTTTGGATTCCTTCCAGTTCTGGCCTTTGGTAAACACGGGAACCACTCAATTCCACCTTGAAGTGTATTTGTTGTTTCTGTGCACTGCAGCGTAGACTTGGGTCACCTTAGGGTGCCTTTTCTGTGTGCTCGTAAATATTCAGAATCAAACAGATTCTTTCTCCTCAGGGCCCTAGAGATGCTGAAACAGATGGACCTGAGAAAGGAGATGAGAAAGGCCAGGCTTCTCCGCTTGAGGAGGACCCAGACAGAAACCTTAAACAAGGAGATGAGCAGGATTCTAAAATAAAAGGCAGAGGGTTGCCCAATGGAATGGATGCCGATTGCAAAGATTTTGAGTAAGATTTTCACTTTCTCCCAAAGACAAGCATGTCCTTACTGGGCTGTGGGGCTCATCTAGACGCTTTCCCAGGTGCCTCCCATTCTGCCTATGTTACTACTGCACTGCCTGGGAGTACGGTTTTTTGTTACTTGTGAGCGAGGCTAGCTGGTTTTCTCAAACCCTTTGGATCCTCAGAATAATTCTTGGGCAGTGCAAGTCCTTTGCAGCATTTCAGATGAACAGCGCTGTGATTGAGAGCTCGCATTCGTTCTGCTACGTTCTCCCCTGCCAAACTCTCCCCTTCTCTGCCCAACAGTGCCTCCTCTTGTCTGAGCTCCTGGTGGTGAATCCTCCCTTCTCCTCTTCTTCCTCCTCCTCCTCTCCATCCTCCCCCTCCTTTTCCTCCCCTCCTCATCCCTTAATAGTTTGGCCTGAGAAGACGAAGGCCTTGTTGTAGCTGAGAAGCAGCGACCCTGCCATGACCCCATTGAAGGAGTCGGGGTTGGTTTTGATGGCAAGAAGACAGTAGATGGTGGAGATGTGGGAGTTAGTCCAAAGAATGCACTTCATTGCTTTGAGGGATTAACGTGGCCCAGTCATCTGCAGATGGACTTGAGCTTTTCCTTCGAAGGCTTGGTTCTTAGAACGCCAAATTGTCCAAATTTCACAAGTCATTGCTTCCTATTGGTTTTCTGTTCATCAGCTTGTGTCGAAGCAGATACTGAAGTAACTGTGTCTAAAAGCCTATTACCCACATGTCCAGAGGGGGACTAGTGTTTAAATCTGTTGCTTTTAGATCGCCAAAGCAAGGGAGACATTGGCATAAAATGGTTTTAAAATCAGTGACGTAAAGAACGCCTGAGTGCAAGACAGCATCCAAAACCAGAAAACCTCTTTTTAGAAAAAGAAATGAATTCAGTGAAATGCAAAGAATTCCATTTTGAAAATACATCCTGCATTTGCTCCCCAGCTCCTATCAAACACAAATTTCACCTGAGACTAATTAATGCTGAGTTGACCATAAGCCCTCAGGATGCACGTCTTTATAATTGAAGTGTTAAAACAACATTAACTATAGCAAGAACAACGGCACCACTGAAAGGGGCAGACCCTAAGCACAGTAACCATGGAGAGACCAACTTCCTATTGGCAGCTTTTTTTTGTTTTTTTTAAACAAGTGAAGATGTGTTTTGTGGAGAATACTACAGTTTTGGTTTTCCGAATAGAAATGTTTTACATTCCTATGAAAGTTCTAATTCTATTCTGTGTTAATAGTGCTGTTATTTCTTATTGTTTCTAATCGCCATGGATTCAGCTTCAGTCACTACATGACATAAAACATTTTCCAGAACCAGAGCCATTGGTGCGTCATCCCAGCATCCTAACAGTCATATGGAATGGTTGAATCTCCAAAGCTTTCTGGGGGAGACTTGGGAGATTTTTGTCAGTTCTGCTCATTTTCTCCTTCCTGTTCATTCAGCGTGGAAATGAGTCCCAGTGTCAGCCTGAACAGATGAAGTGAGAGTCAAATGAAGCTTCAGTTTATGGATGGATACGTAGACTTGCCCTTAATATCAATGGGAGGGAGGGAGCATGGTCTTCTCTTCAGCATCTGGAGAAGACTGAGGGCGTTAAAAGCACTTTGTCAGGGTCATCATTGGTCACGATGAGCATCTGAAGTAGTGAGCATAGAGTGTGGCGAGGCCCAGCAGCACACCGCCGTACCAGGAAGTCGTTCCTGCTTCCCTCTGGCCATTCTGGGGCTGCTTGGAGTTATGGTCCATGCTGGGCTCAGGCTCAGATACTCTCACCTCAGCTTGCCCCTCCTCCATCCCAACCAAGTCCAGAGAAGGCCACCCACTCAATATCGCCGTCCCTCACAAATACCCCCTGTCCACGGTCAGGAGCTCTGCAGTACCCTTACCTGATCACGTTGTGTGGTCACTCCACCTCTCCCTCTACGTTGTGACTCCAGACCTTGTTCCTGGTCCTCACTGTGGTCTCCACTTGACCCTGAGTTCTCTGCCAGGCTGTTCCCCCCAGCGCTAGCTGCCTCCTCCCCTCCCCGTTTCAGCCCTCGGGGAGCCAGTTCACCTCCATGTCGTCGTCCCGTCTCAAGTGCCTGGACCTCTGTTCCAGTTGCTGATCTTGCCCTGCCAGGCCTCAGGCCTGGACTGCAGAATGAAGCTGTGGTTCCATAGCTCAGTGAGATCCAGCGAGGCAGACCTCAAGTCACTGTCCTGCGCCCTATAGCGGCTCTTCGAAGCCTTTCCTCTGTCCTCAAGCCTCCTGTGGCTTCCCCTCCACACGACCTTTCCAGCTGAGAACCTGGCCTCATGTTTTTCTGAAAATATTGATACCATTGTTTGAGAGCTCTGTCTTCCCCTCTCCTCCTCCTTGTCTCATGTCCACCAGATCCCTTCCACAATCTGAACACCTTCTCTTTTGAAAGGCAAACCCCTCTTCGTTGCTCAGGTGATCCCCATTCCATCCCATCTCCGTCATCTTCTCGCTTGTCTTTAGCCCATCCTCATCTGCTGGCTGTCTCCCCGCTCCTCCTTTTTGCTCCCTCCTTCAAAAAGGATCTGTCCCTGCCCTCTTAGCTGCTGGCCACATCTCTCCTCCCTCTTCTGGCACACCTTCTTGAGAAGGCCATCTCTCGCAGGTGCGTCCACTTCTTTGGAGGTAGCGGGTATCTCTGGATTGGGCTTTTCTCAGTCCTCATCCTTCTCCTGGATCCTCTCTCCCTCCTGGTTTACCTGGTTCTTGTCTTTAGCTGACAACTCCTTCTCAGTCACCTTTGCTTGCTCTTCATCTGGGTCATGCCTGTGTCCCCTGGTCCCTGTGCTGGGCCTCCCCTCCCCTGCTCTCCATGACTTCACTTGGTGGTCTCATCAGCCTTCCTGGATTCTTTTTTTCTTTTTTGCTTGCTTTTTGGTGAGGCAGTTGTGGTTAAGTGACTTGCCCAGGGTCACACAGCTAGTAACTGTCAAGTATCTGAGGCTGGATTTGAACTGAGGTCCTCCTGACTCCAAGGCCAGTGCTCTTTCCATTGCACCACCTAGCTGCCCCCTCCCTGGATTCATTTACGCATCCCTGTCTTCTCTGCTGACCTCAGCCTCACATCTCCTCCTCCCTCATTGTCCTTCATAGGCATCTTAAAATCGGTTCAGCCCAACTCATCCTCTTCCCCAAAGCCTCTCTGTCTTCCTGACTGCCCTATTCTTATCCAGGTGCTTGCCGTCCTCCCAGTCACTCGAGCTCACAGACTCGTCCTCCTGGACTCCTGGCTTTCTCTACCTTTGCCCACCTTTCCTCTGTGCCCTCTTCTCCTGATGTTGCCATTTCCCCCAGTAGGCAGGCCCTCATCACACCCAAGAGCCTGCTAGTTTCTCCTCATTCAGTGTCACTGGACGCTTTGCTCTGGCACTCTGCTCTCCCTGTTAAACTCTGCCTCCTGGCTTCCCTCTTCTACAAGAAGCCTTTCCTTATTTCCCCTTAGTGCTAGTGCCTTCCCTCTGGTAATTACCCCTCGATTTATCCTGTCTGTGCTTTGTTTGTACCCATGTAAGCTTGTAAGCTTGTGAGCTTGAGGGCAGGTACTGTCTCGCTACAGTGTCTGGACACTTAAGAAATGTTTGTTGATTGACTGACTTGATAGGGCCCTGTTTGAGAGAGCCCTGGGACCTGGCTTCTGGAAGGGCCTGTGCTTGGAGCCGGATCCAGAGGTGGAGAGTGGGCTTGGGAGGGAGGCTGAAAGTCATGCGGGGCGGGGGGGGGGGGCGGGGGGGGGTTAAAAGTCACAAGAACAGTTCAAATGAAGGAATGGATTTTTTTTTTTTCTTTATTCAGTGTCCAGAGTTTCCAGCAGTAAAATGGAAGAGCCTTTGCAGGTGGAAATGTTGCTTGTTTGGTACCAGGAGCTGTTGGCACAGCCTGGTTTTCAGAAAAGTCAGGGGTGTCTGCTTGTATATGTGTCCTCCTTATCCCTGGACACAAAAGAGAATTATTTTGGGGAATGGCTAAAAAGGCATTGGGGGTGAATCTATGGATATTTTCACACAGGCAACTTAGTTTGCTGCTGACCTTTCTTTCTGTTTTGTTCAAGTGACCCAGATCTCTGGGCTAGAGAGCTTTTGCTTCCAAGCTTCAAAGGAGCCACCATTTTCTGCTGGCCCTTCTGGATTCCAGATTAAGCCACGTTTTTAGTCGAGGTGATTGAGCCTTCCGTCTCCTGGCCAAGTCATCGCTTTTCATTGATGGCACAAAAAAACCTACTAGGTGATTCCTGGAAGTTCTTTCAGAATTAAGAGTCTTTTTTTGGTCATGAAAACTGGAGTTTGATGTCCATTCTAATGCATTTGTTCTGTTCTGGTTGACAGTGATTTGTTTGCTCTGTCTTCTACAAAGTAGAGAGGTTACTTCCTAGCTGTCCTAGAGACAACTCAGTGGCGGAGTTCACAGAGTGCTGGGCCTGGAGACTCAGGAAGACCCAAATTCAAATCTAGCCTCAGACACTTAGCAGCTGTGTGACCATGGACAAGTCATTTCAAGTTTCTTCAAGTGTAAAGTGGGGATAATAACAGCCCCTGCTTTACCTTTCAGGCTTGTTGTGAGGATCTGATGAGATAATATTTGAAGAGTGCTCAGCAGAGTGCCTAGCACATATCGGCACATGAGAAACACTCATTCGGTGCCGTCTTCGTCACTGCCTGTGTGACCTGCCTCTGTCAGCCTCCATTTCCTCACCTGCTTGTTGGGGATAACAGCCCCCACTTCACAGGGTTGCGAGAGCTTTGGATTCGTTGAGCTCTGTATTCCCCTTTAACTCTTAATCTTTGCCTCTGTGAGGAACTTGACAGTGCCTCGAACTTAGAACTTCTTCCAAGGCAGCATGAGTAGTTTTAGCTTACCATGAAATGGGAGAGGTTCCATTGGAGCTTGGAGTTTGCCATTCATGCATCAGCCTTGCCCTCTTCAGCAGGGCGTGGGAGACCTGATTCCTGATCTGAGGTTCCTTGGGTCCCACAGGGCCTGGGGCCAAATGATGCCAAGGCCCTTCCTGGCTCTAATTAATAACATGGACGTCGTGTGGTCTTGGATTATTACATGTGTTGTCTAGACTTGAGGGATTTCTGGGACCTTCTGTGTTTCTTTAGGACGTTGTAACTGTTTCCCTTGTTGCCGGTGGCTTTTCCACGCTCTGATCCTGCCTAATTCTCTTTATTTAGTCGTACTCCAGGAAGCCGCCAAGCTTCTCCCACAGAAGTAGCTGAGCGCTTGGGCCCCAGTTCAAATCCTCCTGAAGGACCGGGTCCTCTCCCCAATTCTGCAGCTAATAAGCCCCTCGTGGAAGAGTTCCCCAGCCCTGAAGCCCAGACTTTGGATGCCATGGAGCAGGTGGGCCTGGATTCCTTGCAGTTTGACTATCCTGGAAACCAGGTGCCAATGGACTCTTCAGGGGCTGCTGTCGGCCTCTTCGACTACAGCTCTCAGCCGCAGCAGGTAATTGGGCTTACCAGGGCGATTGGTGCTGCCAACGCTGAGGGTGAGGTTTGCAAAAAAAGCTCAAGTGGGCCTCTCTTTGTCTCTTAGCTCTTTCAGAGGACCAGTGCGCTAACCGTCCAGCAGTTAACGGCCGCCCAGCAGCAGCAGTATGCGTTAGCTGCGGCCCAACAGCCACACATTGGTGAGTGATGAGCGCAGTGGGGCGGGGGAGGAGAAGGGCCGACGTCCTGAGCAAAGCTAGGAGAACTGAGGCCCTTTAATTCTTCCTGTTGGACTGTATTCTTAGTGAGTGGCCTCCTTCGGTAAACCGGTACAAGGTCAGGGCTGAGGGGTGCTTCCTGGTGGGCCTCGGTCAGTGTTGTGGCTGAAGAGCAGCCAGTATCTTATACACTTGAGAAGCAGAATTAGAAGTGCCACCCTGGAGCACCTGGGGTGCCCTGGCCAGGGCACCCACTCGTTTCTAGGTGAAATGGGGATCAGCACCGTGTTTGAGGCTGCTCGGAGGCTGGCCTGGGGTCCTCTGGCCCTGCAGTCCTGGGCCGATCACCGAACGCTGCCTCCTGCGTCTGTCAGATGGGGTGGTTGTGAGGATCAATCTAGATCCTGTTTGTAGAGCTCTTAGCACAGTCCCTGGCACGTAATAGGCTCTCTATAAAGGTTTACTGTCATCATCACCACCGTCATCTGCTGTCACGTGGAGCAGAGTAACGGGCCCCTCTTCCCAGCATTGTTGTCGAGGTCAGATGAGGGAGGAACACGAGCATTGTGGGTGGGGGCCTTGTAGGGTTAGACACTTCAGAGCAAGTAATCAGAGAAGTTCTCCGTCTAAGGCTTTGATCAACAGCTCAGGATGTAAAAAGGAAACTTATTCCTGCAGGTGTTGAAAGGTCTTGTGGATCAGTGAATTTGTTGTCTTAGCTTGTATACCGGCTCTGTTTCTCCCAGTTTGCCTTAGCCTGTGACTGTGCTCCTTGTTTGATACTCTTCGCTTGCAGGCTTTGGGACCTTGGGACCGTGGGGCCGGATCTGGTCTGCTTGCCCCGATAGCTCCTCTCCTGGGGCTTGGCCTCGAGCCTGCGGTTTGCAGCTGCAGCTTCCTGGAGCTCCTCCTCGCAGGAGGCTTGGGAGCGTCTCAGCTGAGGCAGCAGGCTCAGGAGGGACAATCCCCTGTGGGCAGCGGGAAGTCCTCAGCTCCTTGTCTCCAGAATGGAATGGTGCCAGGGTGCAGCGTTGGTCAGGGACCCTGTCATTAACGAGCTTCTCGTTGGCCGCTTGGCTTGGGAGCAGAGTCTGGAGTGCGGCCTCCTCCTGGGGGTGTCTTGCCTTTTTCTTGTGCTTTCAGAGGTTATCCTAGCTTGTTTTGTTTAGTGAGAGGGACAAGGTGAGGATTCTTCCCTCCAGTTTTTTTCCTTAAATGTATTTTATTGATGCTTTAAAAAAAAAATATTGTCACTTTGCAGTGAGTTCTGGGAACCTTTTCTCCTGTCTCTATCCCCCAACCCAATATAACCAACTTCTGTAACAAATCCAGTAAGGCCAAACGATTGGGCACGTCGGTCGCGGCCGCCACCTGTACTCCAGGGCTTTCTGCCGAGAAGAAGGCGGCCGTGGCGAATGATCGATGGGGGCTTTGGAGCTGAGTCACGTCCAGAACATTGCCAGGCACTGAGCTAAGCGCTGGAGACAGAAAAGGCTGAAAGTAGCCCGTGCTTTTGAGCACCTGGTGTGTTGGGGGAGCCCGTGTGCAGACGGGATGTGCCTAGACTAGAGCACAGATGACCCAGGCTTACCTGGTGTGTGTCTGCATGTAGGTGGGGAGCCAAGGTTGTCATCGAGTGGCTGGAATCGACGTTTTCCTACTGACGTGGCCCTGCATCAGTTCATGCCAGTTGGAATTTTCATGTTCCTTGTTTGTTTCTGTGTAAAAATGTTCCGTGACATTCACAAATCAGAGAGGGAGAGGATTTCCGGGCCTTGGTTCCTGTCTGGTCAAACCGAGACCCAAAAGGCCCCCCATGGTAATCTCCAAATGGAGGGTGCTTCTCTAGACCCTGCTGTAAGGGCTGTGGTGAGGGGTGCCTGGCATCTTTCAGGAATTTGCCTCTTGGCAGTTTCCTTCCACTGTTGTTGGAGTTTAAGTTAGATGCAGCTAGGTGACAGTGGATAGGGTGCTGGGCCTAGGTCAGGTCAGGAAGAGCTGAGTTCAAATACAGCCTCAGACCCTTAGTAGCTGTGTGAAACTGTTCTGCCTCAATTTCCTCATCTATAAAATAGGAATAATAATAATAATAATGATAATAATAATAAAACCAGTTAGCTCCCGGGGTTATTTTGGGGATCAGATGAGGTAGTGTATGTTAAGTGTTTTACAAACCTTAAAGGAATAGATACATGTTCGCTCTTATTAAGCTAATGCTGTACATTTTATTGCAATACAGATTAGCACGAGTAGCTATGCTCCACGTCATGGAGCAAGCACATATGGCAATTGGACGTTGGTAATATTGTGTACTGGTGTAGATGGTGAATCACAGCAAGGGCTGGAGAGAGGAGGTTCCCGTCTGGAGCACTGGAGAGAAGGGATGAGAAGATTCTTGGCTTGGCCAGGAGCAGGCTGCACTTCCGGTTGGTGCTCGTGCAAGGGAAAGAAAAGACTGGCACTGTCCTAAGGACTTCACGTTCTTTTTTTCTCTCACTCCTTAATTCTTTGCTTTTTAATTTAAAATTTAAAATTAATATTATTTTGAAATGGAAATCCAACTTCTTTCCCTCTCCCATTCCCATTTCCTTCTGCCCTCTTGGTTCATATCTCTTTGGGGAGAGAGCCCCTTGGAATCGAGTTTGTCATTGTGTTTATAGGAGTTCTTTAATCTTTTGTGTACAAGTCGTTTGCCTGGTTTGGCTCACAAGTCTTCCCAGGTTTCTCTGAAAACTCGTTTCTTACAGCACAGTGGTATTCACGATCGTATACCACAGTCTGCTCAGCCATTCCTCAGTTGTTGAGCATCCCCTGAATTTCCAATTCTTAGCCGCCACAAAAAGCTGCTATGAGTATCTTTGTACATGTAGGCTCTTTTCCTTTTTCTTTCGTCTTTTTGTGGTACAGACCTAGTAGTGATACTGCTGGGTCAAAAGCCTTTGGGCACAGTTCCAAATTGTTCTCCGCAATGGTAGGACCAGTTCCCAGCTCCACTGATAACGCACCAGTGTGCCTGTTTCCCCGCAGCCCTGCCAGCATTTGTCAGTGAAGGAGCTTACCAAGTAGGTGGATGAAGAGCACGGAAAAGGCAGCTGAAGGACCGGATGGAGGGGTGGGGTAGCTGGGAAGGAGCTCATCTGTGTTAGGAGTAAGCGTGACTGGGTGAGTGGGGAGTGCTCAGGGCCTGAGGAGCCCAGACCTGTGTGTGCCCATGTTGTTACCACAGGCCTGAAGGAATTACCTCCTCTTTTAGGCTGGGCAAACCATTCTTCTCCACCCCCCATTTACGCACACCCACAGCATTGTTTTTACTGGGCCATGTTTTAAATAGACTGTTGTACGTATGTTGTTTGGTTCCAGTGAAATGTGAGCAATAATAAAAGTAGCCTTTTCATATCCCTTGAAATTGTGCCAAACTGTGTCAGACATTTCTCTTTGGATCCTCACAACACCCCCCCCCCCCCCAAGGTGCTGTTTTTCCCATTTTACAAATGAGGAAACTGAGGCAGACAAGTGGAGTCACACAGGCAGCTAGTGTCTGTGACCAGATTAGAATACGAATTCCAGGCCTAGCCCAATCCCTCTCTGTACCTGCCCTTTCGGCGAGCGACTTCTACTTCCGTTTAAGCCTAGCCTGCTGCCTGGCACACACTTCATCAGTGCTTGATGGTTGGTCATAGGACGCTTCTCCCTTATCTCCACAAGCGATGTTTCCTGTATTTCACCAGTGGGTGTTATTTGGTGATGGGGTCCGAATGCTCCTAAATAATCAACTATCCCTGGGGTCACTGGTCTCAAGCCCTGGAATGTCAGACCGGTTGCTGCAAAAAAACTGGGACTGCAGAAAGCCAGGAACATGTTGTGCTGGTGACATTCTCGACTTTTTCCTGTTCATCATCATCATCACCACATTCAGGTTTGGGAAGCTTCTTACTCTTCACGCCTGTTAACCCCAAACAGGAGCTGCTGTTCTGGGGAGCTCCTCCTGGCTGTGTTGACAATGATCTTTCTCCACTCTTCATTAGGTTGAGAACACTTTGGCAGGGGGATTATGCAAAGGGACTGGAGAAACAGTCCTGACATTATGTTCATTGCTGGAAGCATGCTTTCATTCTCAGAGCCGTCTGTTAATGATACCTTTGCAGATTAATTAGTAAATCCATGAATGAAGAAGATGACCAGGCATTGATCAGAAATTGTGAGGCCTGCGTAGGTAAAGGTGTCCCAAGACCTTAATCCATGAGTGACTATCAGAATTAAAGACATGGTGGGTCCTTCTGTGTTGGAGAAGGGATCCCGGGGCCGTCACGGGACACGACTCTTATCAGCTCCACAGCAGCCGGGCTTTTGTGGGCGCAGTAAGGAAGGAGTGTTCTGACCATTGGATGGTTGACCCGCTGGCCATGGTGTGTCCATGTGGAAGAAGGCTGCCCAGGACCTCATTGCTAGCGTGACCAGGAACGTCTGGTTGGTTTCCTGTGAGACGATACACGCGTTAAATGCTTGATGTATGTGGAAAACCCACGTTCTCTCCCAGCCCTGAGCCTCCTCATCCTGGCACCAATGTGGTGAAGTCAGAGATGGTGGCAGAAGGTGTCTGTGAAGGGCCTCATCTGGGATGGTTGGGGAAGGAGGGGGCCAGCACCCGTTTGTGGTGGATTCATCCCACTGTGATGGTTTTTCTCCAGCTTTGTTCAGTACCCAGTTAGTACTTGAGCTTGGAGATAGGTCCTTGAGCATCTCTTAAGCACCTGCTGTGTGCTGAGAAGTGAAAGGCTGAGAGCTTTACAAATATGTTCACACTTGATCCTCACTACAACTCTGCAAGGTAGGGCTATACTCTCACTCACCCGCTGTGCCATCAAGGGCACCGAGGCAGACTGAGGTGAAATGACCATCCAGGATCCCCCAGCTCAGAAGGGTCTGAGGCCACATTGGAAGATAGGAGTCTTCCTGACTCTGGCCTTGTGACATCAGCTGCACCTCTGGTGAAAATAATGCAAGGCTTAACCTTGGCAGGAAAAGGGGGCGAAAGGCTCAAGAGAAGAGGGTAGGGAAGGAACGAGTGTCATTAGTGGTTGGAGGTCAGGTTGAGGTGAACGAGCGATTTGGGATTGTGAGGGAGGAGAGGAGGAGTGGAAACAGATGAGGATTGGCTGAGGGCATTTCTGGGTCAGTGAATATTGATGTGCAGCACTTGAGGTGATGGCCCATCTCTTGAGGGGTGCAGTAGAGGTGGGTCATCCTGGCCCTGGGAGGTGTGGGGGGGCAAGGGTTGGGGAGGAGAGAAAAGCTGTGAATCAGACCCTGAATGTGTGGAGGGAGGAAGCTGGAGGTTAAGGAGTGGTAGGGTAGAGGGAGAGCCTGGGGGCCGTCCACTCCCATGACTGACTCCTCAGCGCTGCCGTCACCCTGGGTGTCAGGGCACTGGCCATTCCCCTCTTCTTGGGGGCTGCCTGGAGGGTGGCCAGCGGAGGGGGTTGTAGCAAGTTATAGTGGAGATTCCTTCCTGTCTCCCGAGTTCCTTTTCACTTCTCAGATATTGCAGGAAGAGCTTCTGCGCACTCTTACTAACTTTAGGGGCAGTGGAGAGAGCACTGGGTCGGGAGTCAGGAAGTCCTGAGTTCAAATCCAGCCTCAGACACTTTCTGTTTGCTTCAGTTTCTTCATTTGAAAATGGGGGTTATGATAGCACCTGCCCACCAGGGTGGTTGTGAGGGTCAGCTTCCTGCCTTTCCATTTGATTAAGTATTCACCATGACTTGTCCTTTTGGGAAGAGTCTTGACATTTCCCTCTCCTCCCTTTTCTCCTCCAGCCGGCGTCTTCTCCGCAGGCCTCGCTCCAGCCGCTTTTGTGCCAAACCCCTACATTATTAGTGCTGCCCCCCCTGGCACTGATCCCTACACTGCAGCAGGCCTGGCAGCGACATTGGCAGGTAAGGAACCACAAGCCTGACCGCTTCTTTCGGATGGCCCGGGCTCTTTGGGTTAGGAGGGCCCGGCAAGGATGATGGCCTTCTCTTTTACACATTGCATCATCCCTTGGGGCCAACTGAACAGATACTGAGCCACCTACTGTGTGCAAGTCACAGAGCCAGAAGACCGCAGGGGAGCCCTGTGAAGAGTGGGGGACTAGAGTGGTGCCAGAGGAGCGGGCTCTGCTTTCGGAAGTTGCCAGCTTTTGTTGTTCAGTCCTTTCAGCCGTGTCTGTGTCTGCCTCATCGTGACCCTATTTGGGGTTTTCTTGGCAAAGACACTGGAGGGGGAATGAGGAAACTGAGGCAAATAGGGTGTAGTGACTCACCCAGGGTCACATAGCTAGTAAGTGTCTGAGGCCGGATTTGAACTCTGGAAGATGAGTCTTCCTGACTCCAGGCCTGGCCCTCTGTGCACTGTGGTGCCACCTAGCGGCACCAGTTTTTAAAAATTATGCATTGCATTCTTTATCCAACCCAGTTCTCAAGCTGTTTCTTACCAGTGGATAGTATTTTGCTGTTTACTGTTTTGATTTTCGTTATTAGCCTCATTTCTTAATCACACAAGATGTTGTATTTTTCTGTAGAACCAATTTTGTGTTAATTGATTGGTTTTGTGAATCAATTTCACATTCAGCACAAGTTCTGTCTCCTTAAGGCATAAAGGGAGAATAGCAGTGCCCACGTTTAATGAAACCAGCCGGTCATCTTGGTACCACGTTTTTGTAGAATGAGGAGGTAGTTTTAACGTGAAAAAATAGATGTTCACTAGAATCAGTTTAGCAGGCTTTGGGCACACTTGCCATCCCCTTGGTGTTCTTGGACAGCGTGCTATCTGGAGCCTCTGCTCTCCAGTCTGGGCTTGGTCCAGATGGTGTCTGATCTCCCTTTGGACCCTAGACCGCAGACCCTGTGATGATGAGAATTGAAGAAACTCTCCCAGTGCTTCCATGGGAGGCTCCCCAGGTCTGCTTCAGGCTTCCTCACCTTTTTCTCCTCAGTGTCGTTATTGCTTCTAATGCATGCCCTTCATACCCTCCTTTTTGAGTTTATCCAGTAGTAAACGCTTGAGCACCAACTTTCTCTGGAACATCAACAGAATTGAAAAATGAAGAGCACCAGAGAAAATTTTGGCAGTTTGGGGAAATGTTTTGTTCTGGGAATGAGAATGCAGGAAAGTTGTTGATTCCTAGAGATGCCTCAGATTTATCCTTTGAGAAAAGGAAGGCTCATCAGTAATCTCCAGTGGTCTCTTGTGCTGGCTACCTTTCTAATTTCTCCTCCCTCTGTGTTTTGGGTAGGTCCTGCCGTGGTCCCACCCCAGTATTACGGCGTGCCCTGGGGGGTGTATCCAGCCAATTTATTTCAGCAGCAAGCTGCAGCTGCTGCCACCAGTGCAGCAAATCAGCAAGCCGCATCCCAGGCGCCACCTCCGGGACAGCAGCAGGTAGTACCTGGAGCCTCGCTCATTCTCAGAGCCACTCCTTGAGAGATTCCTGGAGTGTTTTCTTCCTCTCATTTATTGCAATGTCCTCAATGCGGGAAGAGCTCAGTCACCCCTTCATTCTGACCAGTAGGTGGGGATCTGGTGTTCAGTTGGCAGACAGGTAGATGTTCCCTCAAAGCTGGGATGCTTTTAGCTGTTTGTTCTTGAGGCAACATTATTATCAACAGTTGACTTCTGCTTCTTAGCTTAAAGTTCTTTATCTGTTGAAAAACAAATCTGCCATCAGAGGGGACCATGACGCACATACGTGACAGATCTTTGCATAGATACCTATTTGTCCCCATGAGGTGGCTGTGATTGCTGTCCAATTCTTAACTTCTTTTAAAATGCGAACAGTGCCTTAAGATGGGAGTTTCTTTTTAACACGGCTGATCTAACAGTAATAGCTAAAGTTGATGTGCTTATCACTGTGTCACAGTTTCACTGGAGCACTTAGCCCCAGTCAGTGAGATCTTGGGTACTTGCAGTGGCCTGAGGCTCTCAGGTGAATCGGGAGGGTGCTGGTGGTGAAGCTCTGACTCCTGTTGAAAGCCGGTGTTGTTTCTACACCTGCTGGCCCTGGGATCTCATCTCCTCTCGGAGGAGTGTCTCTAGCTTGTTTTTTGACTGTCCTTTATTATTCCCGATCAGCCCCGTTTCTAGATTGTCTTGTTTTGTTTTCAGATGATGCCACTTTGATTGTAGGGGCCCAGTTCTCTACACAGCTAGAGCCCCTGGGATGTTCTCCCTTGGGGTGCAGCTGCTTCCCAGGGAACTCCCCTCTTCTGGCTCCATTCCCTTCGCACCAGTTTTGTAAACTGGCTGTCGTCTTCTCTTTGCGTGTGCGGAGCTTGGTGGAGTTGATACAGTTTGAAACACGTTAGCACCTCGATGGAAGCTTTCTCTAGAACATCAGGATTGAAAACCGAGATCTTGCTCTGGAGAAAACGTGGGCAGTTGGGAGAAGCATTTTGGTCTAGGAGCAAGAGTGCAGGAGGGTTGTCTTTTCCTAGAAGTGTCTCAGATTTGGTCAGCAAACTTCACCTTGATGATAGAAATCCAAGTTATATTTGTAGTTCCGAGGAGTGACTGCTGTGGAATAAAGCTGAAATGGTGTGAAAGAGGTGATAGACTGGAGCTTGGCTCCTTCGTCCTATCTGTGATGGATGAACAGTCTCCCTGCGCTCCTGCAGTTTGAGAGCCGCCTCTGGGCGTTCTCAGGTTTCTGTCCTGAGGTCCGGGCCTTGGCTTCAGTCCCCCAGCATCTGTATTTGAGGTTTGACAGCCTGCGTGCCGGTAGTTTGGTCACGTGTTTTCTTGGGTCTCCTCTCTTTCTTGCAGGTTCTCCGGGCTGGAGCCAGTCAGCGCCCTCTCACTCCCAATCAGACTCAGCAGGGGCAGCCAGCAGAATCCCTCGCCGCTGCCGCCGCCGCTGCTGCTGCCGCCGCCGCCGCCGCTGCCGCCAACCCCGCTCTGGCTTTCGGGCAGGGTCTTGCTACTGGCATGCCAGGTAATGGAACAACCACGCCGAGTTCTTTCCAGTTTATTTTTGCCGTGGTGGGAGCAGGCTGCGCCCTGAGTTCCCCCGAGGCTCCCATCTGGTAGGTGCTGAGGCATGTCCTACGTGGGAGTCACGCTTGTTCCTCTTGTGGCACTGGGTCCCAGTGGTGGGCTTTGATTGGCAGCCTGTGGATGGGAAGGGAGAAATCAGAGGACGTGCTCCTTTCTTGTGCAGAAGCAAAGCACAATTGGGTGTTCAGTCTGAAAGGTCACTTTTGGATGAGTTTGGAAAGTCCAGGTACAGTCAAGACAAGCGCAGGAATCCCTTGATCGGTCATGGCCCTTCGTGGCCCTTCCTCCCTCAGTAATGGGAGGGCCTTTCCTGCTTGGGTCGTGGAGCTCCCTTTGTCACCTAGCTCTCGTGGGGGCCTTCACGGGGCTGCCTCTGCTGTGGTCATTGCAGTGCTTGGAGCTCTTGGCAGCACCTGGCCCCAGGGGAGCCTGGGCAGAACAGCTTGTCCCTCCTGCCTCTGGTTGGGCTTCCTTTGAATTCCCATGCCTCTCTGCATTGCTGTGTCTGGTGGCTTTCCATGCAGCTTGTGACCCTTTGTCTGTGTGTCCCCCGACCTCTAGGCTACCAAGTCCTTGCCCCAACCGCCTACTATGACCAGACTGGTGCCTTAGTGGTGGGCCCGGGAGCAAGAACAGGCCTGGGCGCCCCCGTCCGCCTCGTGGCCTCCACGCCTGTCCTCATTAGTTCGGCAGCAGCGCAGGCTGGTAAGTTGGCAGGACAGAAACTTTCTTGCAGAGCCCCTTCTTAAGGACGGGGCCTCAGCTTGAGAGAGGATTTCAAACTTGTGTCTTGCAGCAGCCGCGGCTTCTGCCGGAGGGACTGCCAGCAGTCTGACGGGAGCCACCAATGGCCTCTTCCGGCCTCTGGGCACCCAGCCCCCGCCGCCACCACCGCCAGCGCCCCAGCAGCCACCTCCCCAGCCCAGCACCAATCTTCAGTCCAGTTCATTTTATGGGAGCAGCTCTCTGACCAGCACCTCACAGAGCACTTCCCTGTTCTCTCATGGGCCGGGCCAGCCTGGAGGCACGTCTCTGGGCTTTGGGGGCAGCAGCTCCTTGGGGGCTGCCCTTGGCTCAGCCCTCAGTGGCTTCGGCTCATCCGGTAAGTGGCTTTTGTGGCCTGAGTCTCCTTTTTCATGGTTCAGTTTTTATTTGAAAATGGGAATCGCAGATCTTCTCATGATAGTGGAGCAGAAAGAATAACAACGCAGGGTGCATTGAGTCTGCTCTTTTGGTTTTAGAATAAAAACTTGACTGTATTTAAGCAGTCTAGAGCTTGTTCAGATAGGAGGGCAAGCCTTTAGGGCCAGTGACTTTTACATCACTTTTTAGACATCATTGTCTAGCCCCTTCTTATGCCTTTGAGTGCTGGTCATTCAGCTAATTTTTCACATGATGTAATTCATATGACTTCCTAATTTGTGATTGCCTTAATTTTCCTCATAGAAATTCAGTGTGGTGGTGAACAATTCTAAACTAAAGCCCCAACGGTCCATCTAAGGAGCCTGCTAAGCTAGCTGAAGTCCTAACCTAAGTTTTTCTTGGCCTGTTTCCCCAGGAAACCTTAGTGTAAAGCCGTGCAAAACCCCTACATCACTTGCCTCGTGACCTGTTTTTATTTTTTTCAAACTGCACAAAATTAGGCACTTGTGCACCAAATACTGCCCACCTTCTGAAGCCTCAACAATCCTGGGATCTCTGGGGCTGGTGAGGTGCTCTGCCTGCTTGCTCAAGTTTCCTGTCCTGTCTGGGTCTGTTTTTCCCAGGCTCACTTTCATGGCCTTGTGGACCTCAGTTGGCTAAAGGCTTGTTCCTGGCACCTGGGAAATAGAGCTAACAAAGCTAAGGCTTGGTCTGGTGGGACATACCCTGGGGAGGCCTGGGCAGAACCTCCTACCCGCTGGCCACTCGTGGCACCAGGCTCAGAATGGTCCCCCTTCCAGTGTGGCATTGATCTGGATGCCTGCATGGTGACACGCTGGGACAGAAGCTTCACCATCAGGTCTGAGCCCCAAGCCCAACTTCTCCTTGGCCCATTTCGTCAGGAGGAGCTGCTGTTTGTGACACAAAATGAGAGATGCCATCGTCAGCCCCTTGTGTCATTTGCTCTAGATGTAGCCTTCTCCTAGTTTTCAGAGATAGTTTAATTAAGCTACGGGGACTTACTCTCCTGTTTGCCTAAGTGGTTAAAAGAAAGATTTTCTTAATTATTTTTAAATGTTTTCCTTTCTTTGACCTTTGGATGGGGGAGCTAGCATGAAGCAGCCCTCTTTTGGAAAGAGCTGCTACCGTGCGAGGCGTCTGATGTCTGCAGGGACTAGCGACACAGAGGAGTTCAGTTTCGGAACAGTTGCTTTGACAGTGTCCTTTTAAATTGGCTTAGTTGGCTTAGTCAGTACGGCACGTGCCCTAAAAAGCTTTGCCAAGCCCAGCGCCAGGAGAGCTTCTCCTTTCTTAGACCTCACCTAGTTGATTGTACATTTTTTTTAGTATTTTTTAAAAAAAGATCTAACATTTTTCTATTACATGATTGTCTTAAATTTGAAATTTGTCTATAAAACATATGTCACATATTAATGCTTTTTTTTTTTAGAAGAAAGACTGGCAGCAAGGTTGGATAAGTCACCCCCTTTTTTGTCTTAATATATAGTAGGATAAGAACTCTCCTTCCTTCCTCAAATTTTATATTTCATTGTGCCAGAGTGTTAAAGTTTCACACTTCTATTTATTAGCTCAGCTTGATCTGCAGCCCACCTTGTGCTCTGCTCATTTTCTCTTTCTAATCTATGTTCTGTGTGTATCCACCCCTCAAAGACCTTCCATTGGAAAGCCAGGTCTTTCTAGAACATTGGAAGCTGTCTTGGAAAGAATTGCCGTATTGGTCCGAATATACAGCTGGGACTTTTGACCATGGTCAGATTTCCTGGTCTTCCCTCTGTTGGCAGTCTCCTCAGGACCATAGTCCTAGTTGAGAAGGGCTAGATCTGGGAGCTAACTGGGGAAGAGGCCAGGGGATCAGGCCAAGCTTGCAGTGCTAGCAGCTCCTGACTGCCACACCGGGCACGAATGCTCAGCGTGGCAGCATCATGGGACAATTGAATCCTGCCCACTTTGTCCAGATTTCTTGGGCGTAAGGAGCAGCGAGAGAGAGGGCGCTGATGTGCAGTGTGGGAAAGGAGAGCTGTGATGGGGGGAGAGCTGTGAAGTAGCCTGGGACCCTGGTGGCAGGAGAGAGAATGAGCAGCAGGCGTAGCCCTGAGAAGGGCGCTCGCTTGGCCTAGTGGTGTCCTGAGGAAAAGGCTTGGGCCCGGGAGGTGGCCATTAGCTGGGGGAAGGCCCTGATGATCCACTTACAGAGGACTGTGGCGTGAGGAATTGCCACGCACATTTCAGAAGCCTCTGATATTCGGGCCAATACGGATTTCCCATCAGGTGGCAAGAGTTTGAAGTCTGAGCTAGAAGCCAAAGCACATGGGACTGCCAGAGACCATTTTTGATTTTTTTTTTCTCTCTGATTACTACAACTTTTTTGCTTTGTGACTGGAAAAGATTGAAATAGGAGCTCTAAGGACTGGTTTCCTGAGATTATGAAACTCCCCAAATTGAACCCTTTGACATGAAGTAAGCTACAAAAAGCCCTGAGCTCCAATGGGCCAGGTTTCAGTCCTGAGTGAAGCCATCAGAAGTGTAACATGGGCCCTGCTCCTTCTTGGGGTGCCTTGGCACCCTGCTGAATTTCCTTAGGGAATCCACACAGGTTGTAGAGTGACCGTTTTCTCCCTAATGATGTTTACCCAATGCTTATTGTGACCCCTCCTGGCATTACTCAGGAGGAGCTGGGGATAGGGTTTGTCCAGTTACCGCTGTATGTAATTAGGGTTTTTTTTATTTCTTCTTCAGTTGGCAGTTCTGCAAGTAGTAGTGCTCCAAGGAGAGATTCTCTGTCTACTAGCTCTGAATTGTACAAAAGATCTAGTAGCAGCCTAGCTCCTCCCGTAGGGCCGCCATTTTACAATAGTCTGGGATTTTCCTCCTCTCCAAGCCCAATAGGCATGCCTCTGCCAAGCCAAACGCCAGGACATTGTCTTACGCCACCGCCATCACTCTCATCACATGGATCTTCATCCAGTTTGCATTTAGGTAAAAAAACAACAACCCTTTTTATTTGTGTGTATACATGTGTGTGTATGTTTGTGTGGCTGTTAATAATGTGTGTAAACAATTTCATGTGGGATAGGAGATTCAGAATTGCTTTTACTTCTAGAAATTTCCATAACCTTTTGAAAATTGTTCACTTTTCTGTCTCAGCATTGAAATAAGAGTCTGATGTACAGACAGGTTTAAGACCTTTTTATATCTTATGTTCTTTTGATGAAATGCAAAGGTGTGTGGGTTTTTTTTAATCTCTACTTTTGGGGTGTGTGTGTGTGTGTGTGTGTGTGTGTGTGTGTGTGTGTGTGTGTGTGTGTGTTTTCAGATCCCTTACAGAACCAAATGCTTTCTAGGTTGTAGTGGAATGAGAATTTCACTCTCCAAGGTTTGTGTGTGAGAAAGCAAAAACTTAGCCCAGGTTTGCCAAGGGGACTCACGTTTCCTTGCCATATGGCATCTCTGTGCCTACCTGCCTGCCAGAGTCAAGAGATTGAGGGTAGCTGGGAACAAGAAATAGAAGTGGGCTGCTGCCCCAGAGTTAGACTTGGTTCTATTTCATTGGTTTGAGGCCTTGGAACAGAATGTTTTAGATATGTGTCATGCCCCATTTCTCTAAAATAAAACAGGATGCACACCAAGTGGTGGGTTTTTTTTTTTTGAGCCTAGACTTTTATTTTGCATATGTAAAAGGTTTGTGATTATTCGATCTGGGTACAGAGTAGCACGTAAAATTATAAGTGGGCGCTGGATGGACTTGTCCACATCAGTGATAATCTGAGTGAATTTTACCAAATAATTTACTGTGGATGGTGTTCTTGTAGAGACTGATGGTCTCTCTTAAAATGATTAACGCCAGACAGACCAGGCACCTCCAGTGATGGGAAATTTTACTAGTTTTACTTGGAAATATAAGTCTTCGCCCTGTCTCTGATTTTCTTTGCCATGTGGGTTGAACACACGCCATGCTGATGGATGCAGCCGCTCCTTCGAAGCCTGCCTCACTTGCAGTTTTTCTGGGGTTGCGTGTTAGGATTGCCTTTGCCTCCCTCTGCTCTTCTCAGACTAAAGCTGATAAAATTTCCGGGTGAGCGCTGTTTTTAAAAAATGCTTAGTGTACTCTGAACAGTCTTTTATCAGGGTTCTGTCAGAGCCTTCTCTATACAGAAGTCTTTGGGTGAGCACCTGCCTCCCTGCTCCTCTCTTGCACCGTGATTGGGGCTGGCAGCAACACCCCTCAGAGAGGAACTGCAGAAGAACCACGTGGTCCTGGGCTCGGGCTGCCGTGGGGTCCATCTCTGTGGCAAGGCTCCATGGTGGACCGGTCACATGTGAGCACATTGCCTCCTTGCCCTCCTCTCCCTCAACATGTGCTGCTCAGCATGTCTTCTCTTTCTGTTTGTCCCTTTTCTGTGAGCTTTGCGGAGGAGTGAGGTGGGGAGCTCCGGCAAGCAGGACCTGGCGCCCCGCTGGACTCCTGTGTTGGGTGGGAGGGCTCTGTTCTGCGGAGGGGAGGTTCCCCTGGCTGTGCCTCTCGAGTGGCTGAGGTGGCGGTTGTGGATTTCACTCCAGGACGGATGCTGTGGGGTTGGGTTTGATATTAGGCAAGTGCCTACTATGAGACAGTGAGGGTGGAGTCAGCCAGCAAAAGGAACCGTTAACGGGGCTGGCCAGCTCGCCAAGGCTGCAGCTTGCCCTGCCCTGGAAGGCCAATGATTGCTCTCTGAGCTTGGACAGGGAGGGTCAGTTGAGGAATCCTCTGCAGGGACCCTGGTCCTAGCTCCCTCAGCAAAGTTGGAGCGCTGGAGCGAACGTGCAGCTGGCCAGAAGTTTGAGGAAATGGGCACTTCAGCAAGCTTCCTCAAGCCAATAGCCAGCTGGCTCTGTTGAGAAGGTTTCTTGAGTTGCCTAGAGGGGGTAAATAAAATATTTCTAGGTTTCAGTGATAAGAATGAAGAAAAGGTGCCTTGGGCATAGCTCCTTTCAAAAGTAATTGTTCTGGGGGCAGCTCGGTGGCTTGGTGGATACAGCACTGGCCCTGGAGTCAGGAGGACCTGAGTTCAAATCCGGTCTCAGACACATAACACTCACTAACTGTGTGACTCTGGGCAAGTCTCTTAACCCCAATTGCCTCACCCCACCCCCAAAAAAAAGAAAGAAAGAAAAGTACTCTGAGAAATTCAAATCGGCTGTTCTGCTGCAGTTAGCGAGGCATCTATTAAGCACCTCCTCTGTGCCGGGCCCTGTGCTAGGTGTTGGAGCTACAAAAACCAAAATGAAGGTGGTTTCTGCCTTCGAGGGTCAGTCACGAGGTGGAGGAAAGGGCAGGCGAGCATGTCGCCACACCTGATACCTTCCTGCGGCTGGGATCTCAGTTCAGGTTTTCCTGGTGCTCTGACTTCCTCGACTCTGGGAGGTGCCTAAAGGAATCTGTGTCTGAGTGAGAGGGATGGAAGCATTATGAGGAATAGAAAGTCCATTAGAGATTATAAAAAACTGTAAAAATAGACTCTATGAAGAGTCTCAAGCTTAGTCTTTTAACGTGTTCTCTTAATTTTCCTTGACTTCTTCAGCATGTAAGCAGAAATGAGCAGATGCTGTGTGATTATTATAAAGTGTTTAGAGTATGAATTCCTTTCAAGGAAGTTAATATAAAAATTGAATGCTAGATTATCCCATTGATTGTGATTGAATTTCTCCCTTAGAAGGTCAAAGAAAAAACCTAGGCTTTCGCCATTGAGCAGGCGCTCTTGAGATCTGCCAAAGGGCACGCGTTTCCTTGATGATCATGATCTTGAGTCTGTCCGAAGGGGAGTTTCTCTGATATTAAGGACTGGTGACTTTCAGATGGAGGGATGCTTTTAATAAATATTTGATTTGCCTTTGTCAGCCCTGTTCTCTTCTTAGATACTTGGAAGTTTTGAAGAGGCAGAATATTGAAGGTCTCCTAATCCACTGCTCTTTTGTTTGCATGGGCAGCTTCTGCTAGGAAGATAGGGAGAAGAGGAGGAGAAGGAGAGCTCTGAGGTGAACCATTACTTACTCTCAGCCCCACTTTGCACACACTCTGGCTGGGCTGTGTGAGGTCTTCAGACACCCCTGAGGTTTAGGGCTGGGTTGGCTAACTGGGAAGGTGGTAGAAAGGGGGAAATTAGCCAAGCTGGAAGACGGGAATTCTTGCTCCTAACTTTAAGGTGTGGCCCGTCTCGCGAGAGGAACAGAATAAAGGAAAAGGGTGAAGGCCTTCCCAATGAGAAGGGGGGATCTGTCGATGGGGATCTGATTAGAGCTGAAGTCTGGGAATGCTGGTGCCACATCCCTCTGGTCCTCTCTGGGAGATGTTGGAATGGTAGGACAAAACAATGGGACAGGAACTTGCCACTCAGCGGCTTGTAGGTTCATTGATTGACACGTTGTGATAGTACCACAATACCATACAGACCCCAGTGGGGCACCCGGGCTGAGCTTGGGAGGCCCCCTGGGGTCAGATGAAATCAGCAAGGACTTACCAAGTGCCTGCTATGTGCTAGGCAAAGAAAAAGTGACGAGTAAATGGATTCGTGGAAAGCTGTTATAAAATTATCTTTGTTGAGGTAGACCTGCTGTGGGTTGTACCCCAACTCAACTGTCTTACCGTATGAAAATAAGGTTAACAGGACGTAACAGATTTGGCTAATGGGGAATTAAAACACAAGATCCATAGGGACATAACAAGAGAAACAAGCATTTATTGGGTACCTACTATGTGCAGAGGATACAAACTACAAAAGGAAACAGTCTCTTCCCTTAAGGTGTTGAGTGAGTCAAACTCCCCAGCCCCTGAGGAACTTTATCTCAAAGCACCGAGAAGTCCAGAATCTCAGAATACGAAGGAGCTGCCTCAGTGCTGTCCCCTGGGCCCTTCTGGCATCTCTACATAAGGTCCCGTAGACCTTATATTTGAAAATATACTCTCTCTTGATCCTTACACAGTTGACTGATGGATTTTTTTGACTTTGACTTTAAAGGGCAGTTAGAATTTATGCTATTGTTCATTTTATGGATCATTTCTTAACCCAATTCCAGAGAGCGTCTTTGGCAGAACTTTCCTGTCATCTGCCATCTCTCCAGGCCTGAGCAGTGCCCGTTTGGAGCATGAGCTGAAAGACCCGTGAAGGGCCTCCTCTGCTCTGGCAGGTTTGTGCTCAATATAGACATTTTTGCTTTATAAATAATTTTTCTGAAACAGATTTTGTCCATGTAGTGAAGGGTCAGTAGGTCTGTTTGTATCAGAAGCTTGGATTAATGGCATCAGGGGTCTGTTTATCAGATATTCTGGTTTTGCCTCATTGTGTGATGGATTTCATTTGAGATCTAAAAAGATTTCCAGGTGGAAATTGGGACAGACGGAATCAACTGTGAAAAAGCCTCACACCTGGGTTTGCCTCTCACGCTCATCACTCTCACCACCACCCCCTCCCCCACCTCTTTCTCTTACTTTCTTCCATTTCTTAACCCTCTCTAGCACCTGGTTCCTCACTGTTGGAACTGACTCCCTGTGGTCCTGTTCAGCACAGCTGATTCTTCCCCAACCCCCATGCCACGACTGCTTTGCACCGTGGTTGGGAAGAGTCAGGACACTCATTTCTCTGCACTGTCCCTTTTAGACTTCCTTTACCTCCTTCACTCAGCACCCTTTCACCCTGTATGTATACACATACACATGTCTTTTCAGCATCCGGTGTCCCTGACTCTGACTGTCGTACCCCAGCCCCGTCCTGTTGTCTTCTCTCTCTGCTCCTCTTCCCAAGCTGAGGGTGCGGCTAGGAAAAGTCTCACAGCTGTGCTGACTGTGTGCATTGTAAAGTTGGCTTATCCAGGCACACTTGGGCTTTCACCGTGACAAAGGAGTCCTTTCACTTCTCCAGAATTCATTCTGTCCATCACTCTCCAAAGTAGCTTCTAGAACCCTTTTCTTCACACCTTTTCTGCCCTCTTCTCTCTCAGCTGAA